TGCAACAAGGGGGAGGGTGGCGAGGGATGGGAAAAGGATAACAAGATTACACTAGGCTACTGATAATATGGTCCCCCTCCACACACCATACCTGTGACGTGACCAACATTCCCAGACCTCCCCGAGTGACCAGTCATTAAGTAACTATCACACACCATTGCTCCGATTTGTCAAAAATAAAACAATCGTCTTAATTAGTAACATTACCAAAGATTATACACCTTTCACATTACAAAATTTCGTTTAATATGAACATTGAAAATGTTTATTTTATAAAAATACTATATAGGGTCCCCCCTCTCTCCCTCAGTACAGGCAATATTATGAACAGCAGAAACATTCTTAAAACTCTGGAAAAACAAAAGCACAATTTCAGACTTTACAGTCATCGCTGGGAGTCGCAATAGCAGTCGATCCTGAACAACCCGTCCTCCTAATAGAACGTCGCATTTTGACGTATACACTACCCAAGGCCAAAAAATCGTCGTACCGGAAAATGGTAGCAGCTCACGAAATTGACATTGTCTCGTTTTCTGTTTTGGGTCCTCTGGTGGGTTAAGATAGAGAACTTTAATGCAAGTTTCTTGATGTTGGGAACCTTAAGATGCGCTGCTTAAAGAGGGCAATGGAACCAAACCCAACCCGCCTATGACATGACACTCCTACTATCCTATTGTGCATAATTTGGTGAAGTTAGATCTAAAATTCCAACCTTAGTCAAACATACATTTAATAGATATTTATAGCCCAACCCACTCAAAAATTCAAGTGACGACAATAGTGAGGGTTAATATACACACAGTTTTGGGATTTGGAGCCAATATACAGATAACCAATATAAGACTTCACATCCAATTTCCAATTTACCGCTCTAGGTGCTCCAGAATAAATTAAACCTTCACACAGGGAAAGCTGCCCATTGATAACATAAGAACATAAGAACAAAGGTAACTGCAGAAGGCCTATTGGCCCATACGAGGCAGCTCCTATTCTATAACCACCCAATCCCACTCATATACTTGTCCAACCCGTGCTTGAAACAATCGAGGGACCCCACCTCCACAATGTTACGCGGCAATTGGTTCCACAAATCAACAACCCTGTTACTGAACCAGTATTTACCCAAGTCTTTCCTAAATCTAAACTTATCCAATTTATATCCATTGTTTCGTGTTCTGTCCTGTGTTGATGCTTTTAATACCCTATTAATATCCCCCCGGTTATGTCCATTCATCCACTTGTAAACCTCTATCATGTCACCCCTAACTCTTCGCCTTTCCAGTGAATGCAACTTAAGCTTTGTTAATCTTTCTTCATATGAAAGATTTCTAATTTGGGGAATTAACTTAGTCATCCTACGCTGGACACGTTCAAGTGAATTTATATCCATTCTATAATATGGCGACCAAAACTGAACTGCATAATCTAAATGGGGCCTAACTAGAGCAAGATATAGCTTGAGAACCACACCAGGTGTCTTGTTACTAACGCTGCGATTAATAAATCCAAGTGTCCGATTTGCCTTATTACGAACATTTATGCATTGATCCTTTTGTTTTAAATTCTTACTAATCATAACTCCCAGATCCCTTTCGCAATCCGACTTCGCAATCACAACACCATCTAGCTCGTATCTTGTAACTCTATCATCATTACCTAACCTCAGAACTTTACATTTATCAGCATTAAACTGCATCTGCCAATCCTTTGACCATTTCAAAACCCTATCTAGATCAATTTGAAGTGATAGTGAGTCCTCCTCCGAATTAATTTCCCTACCGATTTTCGTATCATCGGCAAATTTGCAAATGTTGCTACTCAAACCTGAATCTAAATCATTTATATATATTATAAACAACAGAGGTCCCAGGACAGAGCCTTGAGGCACTCCACTTACAACATTTTCCCACTCTGACTTGATTCCATTTATACTAACTCTCTGTTTCCTTTGGTATAGCCATGCCCTAATCCAGCTTAATATAGCACCCCCAATACCATGAGACTCTATTTTTTTAATCAGTCTTTCATGTGGCACTGTATCAAAAGCTTTGCTAAAGTCAAGGTATACAACATCGCAATCCTTACCACTATCAACTGCCTCAACAATGCTAGAATAAAAAGATAACAAATTTGTTAAACATGAACGGCCATTTATAAAACCATGTTGCGACTCAATTATTAATTTATGTTTTTCAAGATGAAGACGAATTTTATTTGCTATTATAGATTCGAGTAACTTTCCCACAATAGACGTTAGGCTAATTGGTCGATAGTTAGACGCAAGTGATCTATCTCCTTTCTTAAAAACTGGTATCACATTAGCAACTTTCCAAAACTCTGGCACTCTGCCTGACTCTATTGATTTATTAAATATGGTTGACAGTGGGTCACAAAGCTCCTCTTTGCATTCTTTAAGCACCCTAGCAAACACTTCATCCGGCCCTGGGGATTTGTTTGGTTTGAGTTTTACTATTTGTTTAAGAACATCCTCCCTGGTAACTGCTAAACTCGTCAACCTGTCCTCGTCCCCACCCACATAGACTTGTTCGGCTGAAGGCATATTGTTAAGTTCCTCTTTAGTAAATAACCAGCAAGACCTGTGGTGGTTCGCCGCTAAAATAAATGCCAACTTAACTAACTACTGTTTTAGTGCGTCGTTCAGCTATTGTTATACAACAGTACCTGAAAGATCAGCCGAGTTAATGTGTGGTGGGGAATAGGGTTGGGGGAGCAGTGTTAACATAAGGGTGGGCCGCAAACACCCTCCCCCCCCCCCCAAGAGTACGTTTTGGAGGCGTGGTGTTGGGCGTGGTTCGCACATTATACTTTGCTAAATACCAACCGTGGTGATGGTAGGGGGACGGGCGTGGTTATGGGCAGTGATGGTGGGCGTGGTTATGGGCAGTGATGGTGGGCGTGGTGGTAGTTGAGGCCATGACTGAGGGTATAGTGATGGTGGGCGTGGTCCTCTCCCACACTACCCTCGGCTATCAACCTGTCCTCAGCCTAGGCTGCTCCCGACACCAAAGACATTTATCCATTTTGACGCACTATTCAAACGTGGTATTTTTATATATATATATATATATATATATATATATATATATATATATATATATATATATATATATATATATATATATATATAATGCAACAATGATCACAAAAACACTGATCCAAGTATGCAGAATAACCACTGCATTCATTCTACTTTGCTCTGATGAAGGCGAATTAGCCGAAAACGCGTTAAGCATTTTCTATTTTTCACATGTGGTTATTCTGCATATATAAAATATAAATATATATATATATATATATATATATATATATATATATATATATATATATATATATATATATATTATATATATATATATATATTATATATATATATATTTTATATATGCAGAATAACCACATGTGAAAAATAGAAAATGCTTAACGCGTTTTCGGCTAATTCGCCTTCATCAGAGCAAAGTAGAATGAATGCAGTGGTTATTCTGCATACTTGGATCAGTGTTTTTGTGATCATTGTTGCATTATATATATATATATATATATATATATATATATATATATATATATATATATATAATTGTGTGTATATCACGAAAAATAAACGTAATTAAAAATGTGTGTCAAACCACGGAGGAAGAACTGAAACAGGAATTTCATTAAGTACTTTCGTATATTAATACATCTACATCGATGTATTATTATACATCGTATAATATACATATAATATATAATATATATATTATATTTATATATAAATTATATAATATATTTACATATGTACAATTAAGCCGAGGTTAGATGTAAAGGTTCTGTTGGCAATTATTTGTATTTGCGATTCGTGGACGAAGAATTTGAAGAGGTTCAGTTCCACAAACTCATCGTCGGGCGACTGACCCTGAATAGGGTCACTAAGTTGACCAACTAGACGCATTCACCAATATTAACGTATTGTATATTAAAAACACATTTTCTCGTAAATATTAGTATATATATATTAGAGTTTTATGTACAATTAGACCTTGGTTAGGCGTTTAAGTTCTGTTGGCAATTATTTGTATTTGTTGAAAGTAGGTGAAGCATTTGCAGAGTTGGGGTTCGAAAATGGGTCGTCAATCAACCCGTCCTCGGACCAAGTCCATTCCATCCAGCGGTCGACCCCATAAACGCATTCATCAATTTTAACATGCTGTTCATTTCAATCAGGAATTTTCTCAAATATAAATTAATATTATAATATATTAGCATATTGTACATATACAGGCATAGGTTAGGTGTTAAGGTTCTGTTGGCTATTATTTGTAGTACGTGGGTGAAGCATTTACAGCGTTGTGGTTCGAACAAAATTCGTCAGTGAAGAGCTTGTTCCGGAATTGTTCGAATGTCATCAGTTGTGAGTCTTGTGTAAACCGTTTTTCATTCATAAACAGGGGGTTTGGCGGGTGCATGGAATAACTTTTGGGTCTTTGGAGGACGGGCTGCGTCAATGAAGCACTGTTCGAGAAATATTCGAAAGTCATCAGTCGAGTCTTGTGTAAAACATTTTTCCATTTATTAACGCGGGGAACGGGGGAGATAAAGGGTAGATTAACGAGCATATGGCTTTCGTTGTTGAGGACGGGCTGCTCTTTTTGCTTAGTGAAGGGTGAACATTTCTAAAGTATCTACGAACAACATTTAGGCCAACTGCTCCAATGAGCAGCTGTGGGAGTAACGATCATTTCGACAGGAATGCCATTAAATCAGTCCTTGTATCAGAATGCCATTCCGACTCAAGCCATTAAAGCTCTCCAACTAGTATTAAATTTTACTTAAATCAATTTCCCAGTTCAAACCAACAGCACTCGCAGATAGTCTGGTTAAGCACCATTAGGTGTAGCCAATAGCTGGACGGGTGCCCGTTCAGTTCCCTATCATGACAAGGCACATTAATACATTTCATTTAGACATTTAACAAAGATAAAAAAAAACAAGAAATAACTTACCCAAGATGATTGATTGATAACCCGGTGATATGTTGATCAACAGTCGTTTGTAGGCAGACGAACCTGGCCGTTCCAAAACGGTCGTTGATGAACAGATGAACCTGGCCGTTCCAAAACGGTCGCTGGTGAACAAATGAACGTGGGTGTTCCAAAACGGTTGCTGATTGACAAGATGAACGTGGGTGTTCCAAAACACAATCTCGATGAGTTGTTCGAACGATGAATAAGGCAGCAAGGTTTGAGTAATAAAAGAAATGCTATAAAAATGTCAGCATTGGCACATCACATCGGCAAAAAGCACGAGGCCAGTAGATGACAACTGCTCCAAAGTTTTAAAATGCTATCATACTAGGCTAGCTCGCCCAAAAACTATTGATTATACGACTAAACGCTAAACGCGAAACGCTAAATGAAAGCCTTAGAACTATTTCATAATACTCAGTTCTACTGCACGAGTTTTCAGAAAGGTTAAAATATATTTTGTATTTAATAAAATGTTTATATATTAACTAATGCATTAAAGGCGTACTGTACATGGGAGAGATGAAGGCCACTTGGTGAAGCACACAACATTGATGAAGCTTCCAAAAGGTTTGTTCACATACTCAGGCATTTCTAAAGCTCTGGGACAGCTTGAGGCACAAGATCTACATCTAGGAGTAAAATAGTAGGCATGTCTTCGGCGTTAAATACCACAGTCTTAGTTTAAGTTGTTGGAATCACTTGTCAGCAACTCCAGACAAATTTATCACTGTCAAATGAACATTTCTGAAAATGGTTGAACATACACGTGAGTGATAGGTTGACAAATAACGTGGGGGATATCTAAATAAACACTTAAAAAAATACTAGTTACGATCAGACCAAACGATGGTACAGTGGTTAAGTCCATGAGGTGCTTCACAATCTGCTACACTTAACAACCTGATGAATCACATTCGTATATCTGCCCTCTAAGTACTGTAGAGGTAGTTTAAAGCATACCTTGAATAGTTGCAAATTCCCTAACTTTACTAGGATAGCTGAACTTACGAAAATATTTGTATCAACCACCAACGTGTTTGTTAATACACCGTCAGACTGTACGACACCTTGAACCCATTGGTAGTCCTGTGTCACTACACTGCTGTATTAATACAACCAGCGTCAGTCACTATACTGCTGTATTAATGCAACCAGCGTCAGTCACTACACTGCTGTATTAATACAACCAGCGTCAGTCACTACACTGCTGTATTAATACAACCAGCGTCAGTCACTATACTGCTGTATTTAATACAACCAGCGTCAGTCACTACACTGCTGTATTAATACAACCAGCGTCAGTCACTACACTGCTGTATTAATACAACCAGCGTCAGTCACTATACTGCTGTATTAATACAACCAACGTCAGTCACTATACTGCTGTATTTAATACAACCAGCGTCAGTCACTACATTAATACAACACTGACCCTCCTGCAACACCTCCGTCTAGAGCAACACTGTCCCTCCTGCAATACTCCGGTCCATAGCAACACTGTCCCTCCTGCAACACCCCCGTCTAGAGCAACACTGTCCCTCCTGCAATACTCCGGTCCATAGCAACACTGTCCCTCCTGTAACACCCCCGTCTAGAGCAACACTGACCCTCCTGCAACACCCCCGTCTAGAGCAACACTGTCCCTCCTGCAATACTCCGGTCCATAGCAACACTGTCCCTCCTGCAACACCCCCGTCTAGAGCAACACTGATCCTCCTGCAATACTCCGGTCCATAGCAACACTGTCCCTCCTGCAACACCCCCGTCTAGAGCAACACTGACCCTCCTGCAACACCCCCGTCTAGAGCAACACTGTCCCTCCTGCAATACTCCGGTCCATAGCAACACTGTCCCTCCTGCAACACCCCCGTCTAGAGCAACACTGACCCTCCTGCAACACCACAGTCCACAGCAACACAAACCCTCCTACACCACTGTCAACAGCAACACTGACCTGCCTGTAGCTCTCTTCGGGCGTCTGGCAACTCCGCCCTCTGGAGAACATATTGTACAGCGCCACCAAATAATCTTATATACTTCCGGTGTCTTGATATCATCATATTTCAATTATTATTATATTGTTACGCCACTTGCAACCATTAACATCTTTCTTACATTTCATTGTACTTACAGATATAGTCTGCCCGAAACGCTATGCGTGCTAGTGACTTTACAAGAATGTAAAAACATCAATGCTATGTACTCTCATAATCCCAATGTACCTTCTTGTATATAAATAAATAAACAAATAAATAAATAAATAAATAAATAATTAATATATTGTCAAACAAAGTTGTAAAGTTACGTGAACCAAATTCAATCCAAATTGATTCCAAATTTACCCGATGGCCACTATACCTCTAGTAACCTTGACGACAGGAAGCCGGCGGCTTGTCAGAGGTACATCCTCTTCCCGACATTTGTCCTGAGGATTTTATCGATCGTTTGAAACTCAGCAGTGTTTTGGCATTTACGAATTCGGGAGATTTGCCGGTTTTTCTGTCCTATGTGTTTGTAGCTTGTTGAGTCTGAAACTATTGTTCTTTGCTTGTGTTATATCCGACCTTTTGAAAATGTGGTCTGGATTAATATCCTCCAAATTGTTAAGTATTTTAAAAGTTTCCATGAGATCAGCCTTGTCATGTCTGGTTTGCAGTATGGTTAGCCCTGAGGCCCTCAACTGTTCATGGTATGAGAGTCGATTGATTTCAGAAATGATTTTTGCTGCCAGGTGTTGACCTTTTCCCAAAGCAGATATATATCTTTCTAAAGATGAGGTTTTTGTTATACGTTAATTTAAGTAGGGGAGCACTAGAGATTTGTACAATGTATAACTACCTTATACCTTATAACTACCTTATAACTAAAGGTGGTAACTACCTACCTTTAGGAGGCGTCGAGGACCGGGCCTCGGGGACGCTAAGCCCCTAAACCATCTCAAGGTAGCCTTCCTTACCTTGACGTCAAAGTTTGGCTATTCATAGGTTTCGTCTTGCTTTCTTTTTATTCTGCAGAACCCACTTGTGCAACTTTCAGTGATTGGCGGATACAGATTCCACGGTCCTTTTCTTCATTAATCTGCTGCAAGATAATGTTGTTGATTTGATATAGTTGTGATGCGCTTTGTACGCTCCACTTGCAAAGTCTTGTATTTTCCTATAATGAAAAGTTGTTGTCAGTCTTCCAGTCACATCTGCAGTTCATGTAGGTCTCTTTGTAAGGCGTCAGTATCATTATCGCTTCTTACTTTACCATAATCTTAGTGTCATCTGCAAATTTTATGTTCTAGTTTGCGACAAAAATCATGCCAGAACTAAGTCGACTCTCATATAGGAACAGTTAAGGGTCACAGGGCTATGCAGGACTAAAAACTTTAACAAACAGATATGACAAGGCTGATCTCATCGAAACTTTTGAAATACTGAACAACATGATTTATCTGATTTACCTGATATTGATAATAACTTGGAGGGCTTTAAAAGGTCAGGCGTAACACAAACAAGGAATTACGGTTTATTTATTTTTTTATTTAACCGTTTCAAGCTCAACAATCCGCAATGTAGGACAGAAAAAAAGGTTATGCTTTTTCACCCTTAGATTTAGGGATATAAACCATTGGAACAGCCTACTCGCCGAAGCTGTAAATGCCAATACATTGTTACAATTCAAATTAAAAAAAAAATTAATATCGTTAGGGTAAAGGTAGGAACTTTGATAAGTCACGAGCTTCTTGTCCTTAACAATGTTAAACGTTAAGCTAAAATATATTTATCTCCCTAAATTTCACTAGCGAAAGGAAGCGCAACTCTGACACAGCACCATAAGCGACCACAACAACAGTAGTAGTATTCGTGTGGGCATAAAAACGGTTCAGTGCGGCAAGTCTCCCTCTAACATACGCATTTATTTAGTCGCCGCTCCTCTATCTACAGTACAAGACAACAAACACTTTTGAAACCTTGCCATTCTCAACATAAACGCGTCTCCCAACATTTGTACTCGTGCAGTCATCGGGAGGATAGAGCCTTTACGCAAACTGCATAGATGTAATAGGACCCATTATCTGGACAGATGTAATAGGACCCATTATCACCACACCAGAAATAAATATCTCTTTGATATCCCCAGAGTTAAACTTAATCTGTGTAAACACTCTATGCAAATAAAGGGACCCAGTTTATGGAACTCACTCCCTACTGAATTTTCAACTACCCAGAGTTCACAGGCTGCCTGATGCCTTATCATCTGGGATCACTGGGTGTTGATAGTTATTGTGCTGGTTTTCTGTATAGGGTTGGGTGCATTGCTTGCTTTCCTGTGGAATCTAGATGGTATCATGAAACATTTGCCTAACAGTATGTTCATCTATTTTAAGGTACAGTAGATTTTCACCAAGCAAGGACGTGTATATACAGTATACACAAGGCTTGGTTTACCCTACAGATAAATTGCATTGGCCATAACGAAAAAGCTTTACATGAAACATCTCCATATCAACATATTTAGCTCTATCAAATGCTCACATCAACTGTACACATATCCAAGACAACATTCAAGCCTGAAGGATGGTACTAAAACTGGCCATAATTTATGACATCCTACCCTGTGTGCATGATGTGTAATGTTATGGTTTTAACTCAGACATTTTAGATAATACTGGCCACCTTTTCTATAGTCGTCGGGATAAGAAGTCTTCACAAAATCCATTACAAAGAAGAATATATAATAATTTTAATCAAAATACACCATGTCAAAAACAAACGTCGGAAAAATTTTCAGGAAAACAGAAATACCTGCTCCACGGACATTGCTTTTAACAGGTAATACAAATTCTTCGCTGATCATAAATAAAGATTTTCCTGAAGAGTTTATTGTGCCATAGGAAGAGATCTTTGGAACTATGCTTTATTGCTGGAGTTTCAGGTTTAATTTACATAAGTATTGATGCTAGAAGGTTACTAATTTATCAGTATCATTGTTATTGGTCTAGTTTTGCAGTATAAATATTGATTAAATTCGAACCGATACTTCAATACTTTTTCCAGGTGGGTATATTTCTTACATCTGACAAAAAATATTATGTGCATATTGGTATCACAGCATTGTCTTATTAGAGTATCAGTTAATGAGACAGTGCAGTACCTGTATCAATACTGTATTGGTGATAATATAGGCATCGGTTCACTTCTACATAAAGAGTAATCATTACACTACAGTATATGCAAAAGTGTGTGTAATTGAGTTTAGGTGTTTTGATTGTTTGCTTTTCTCAATTACTGTACCATGTCAGTATAACTATCTTAAAGGAAACCATTTAGTGACTACTAATGATTTCTTATGCTATTGACATAATCCATCTCATTGAACTCTAATTTTGGGTTGTCTATTGTTATAATGATAATTAATTAGTAATTAATAATAATTTATTTGTTAGCTATACAAAGGGTCAGATTATAGTGGTTACTTGGTAGGTATAGCATTTGTAGATGTTATAAAACCACAATCATGTACATCATTATGATTACTGTATAACTTTCACAGGTGTATAACTTTCAACATGGCCAAAATTAAATAATTTAATTTGTTTAATATTGTATAGTACAGTATATTATATCAACTTATTTATAAATAATTTTTTCTTTGTTTCATTTTATATAAAAATCTTTTAAAGAGTTTCCTCACTTGCAGACACGAGTGAGGTTTGTGGCAGAGGATTGCTGTATGCTCTTGTGAACTCGCACCTTCGCTCTGCCATCTCTGTTCTCTACCTCTCCACGTCTTTGCCTTGTGAGGAAATAAAGCAGTTTATGAAGGAAGGTTAGTGTGTAGTGCTAAAGTATACAATATAATATGTTCTTTAGTTTTGTACAGTATTTTGCTGAGGGTATTTGATTAAAATACAGTATAGTAAAAAAGTATTATTGTTTTGAAAGGCATCAATTTCCTCTAGATAACCAATTATCAAAAGAAGGCACCAAGCCCAGAAAGCTATATAGTACCGTTTGTCATAGACTATTCAAAGGTTCCTTAATATTTTTCAGGATAGCTCAAGTTTTTCATAGCTCTCCAATACGAGAACAAAAGACATAAGACTAGCATTGTAAGAAAAAATTGATTCACCAAGAATTTTATTGAGGAACGCAGGATGAAATATGTGATGTAAAAGAACATTGGGAAAGAAAGATTTCTGATGATCCTGAAACTCAGAGCATTCTATAATGAGATGCACAACTATTACTGGGACAATGCAGTTTTGACGTACAGTAAAGTGCAGGTGATTGTTCCAATAAGTGCCCACAAATTAATCCTACATGCCAATACATAAGCTAGCAAGAGATATTTCCCATTTCCTGTTTTGGTGGCAGGAGGACTGCCATACTTCAGGATAATAACTGCTCTAAGCCGATATTTTAATGTTCCTAATAAAGTTTTTAAGAGTGGCATGTTTACCTTTTAAATATTGATATCGACATTTATTTACAGTTTGATCTTATTTTACATTCAGCCCATCCCTGATAATGATAGTACTTTAGCAACTATTTGGTAAAATATACAAAAGTATACTATTGCAGCAACAGTGTTCACGTTCTGTATTACTGACTTAGCCAAGTTTACCACAGTTTATTTAATGACTCCCAAATTTGTTGTAATTATCTAAACTCATTTCCTTGAATTTCTTCACTTCTTGCATCTTCATGAGGTGCCATCATATGTACAGTACCTTGTAATTCATTACTTCGTATTCCTTCACCTATTGCATTTCAAAGCCATCCTCTGCTTACCAATCATATTTTGTACAATGCTACCATGCTGTAATCAAAGAAGCTTTCAAATTTTCCTTGCTTAGATCAGCTTACGTATCATCTTAGCATAAACACCCTCATTATCTTATCCTTTCACCATTTTCATATTTAATTCCGAGATATTTAATTCCCTATTTTATTTATAGTTAAACCATCGTAATTATCATATATTTGTTAGTCGTCTTGTGAGAAGGTTCCGCTTAATTACTAACATTTACAATAGACAAGCTCGGTGTATTTTCTTGTATAAGAATAAATACAACTTGGCCCATCATCAGAACAAAGGGCTGTTGGGTACACAAAATGCAGTACAGTACTTTACTGACATTTAAATCTACAAGTAATATCATTTTGTGTTCTGCACTTGACCATGTTAAAACTATGCTTTAAACAGGGTTCACTCACTTTGACTTATTATGAGTGCTCCCTAAATCAGTGTAACCAAAACACCTTATCTAACCTCGCCTAGATCAAGCTATTTATAAACAACCAAAATACAGTATATTTATTTATTTTTGATAAAAAATGTGTAACGGCTTACAGTAGATTCAGCATGTCAATTGTTTTATTTATTATATATATATATATATATATATATATATATATATATATATATATATATATATATATATATATATATATGTGTGTGTGTGTGTGTGTGTGTGTGTGTGTGTGTGTGTGGGACTACACATGTGTATCCACCCTGGCTGACACCTATGTACACTTCGGAGCTGATCAAGCAGGTGGGGCGGCCAACCACAGGGAAACAGCAAAATCACTCAAGTACAGGCGACTGGAAGGTCAATACCTCTTTGTTCCCATAGCGTCTGAGACGCATGGCCCCTGGGGCAAGAGTGCCTTGGGATTTCTCAAGGAATTGGGTTCCAAGCTCATTGACGTCACCAGAGACCCAAGGGCTTCCAGTTTTTTATTTCAGCGTCTCAGTGTGGCGATCCAGAGGGGAAATGCTTGCTGCGTCCTCGGTTCCTGTCCAGAAGCGGAGGAGCTTCAAGAGATCCATAACCTTTAGGCATTTGTCTTGTATGTTTTGTAACCTTTAAATACACAATAAAGGAAAAAAAAAAAAAAAGGGAAGGGGGTGGTAGGAGAAAAGCACACAGAAACTGTATTGGAGGGGGACCTACATTCCCTCCAATACGTTATGTGTGGTTTCCTCCGAGGCTATGGGTCCCCCTTCTTCCAGCCAGAGGTGGTATATATATATATATATATATATATATATATATATATATATATATATATATATATATATATATATATATATATATATATATAATATGAATAAACATTATTATACTTTTTAACTTATTTCAGAATCCTCAGCAAAAATAGAATTTCTTGATGTTGCTAGTGATCCCTGTGGTTGGGATAATGATAAACCAGAAATATCACTACAGCAGCCACTACACGAAATATTCAGAAACAGACATATTGGTATTGGTGGTGGGAAACAAAGAGTGGCATTGGTGATTGACAAGCTTGAAGATGTAACTCGTCATCAGGACTCTCTGGATGTTATAAGAAGCTTACATTTGCTGTCTGGAGGTAAATTATGATCAGCTGCAGATAAGTTTATTAGAGTATAAAAGTGCTAAGAGGAAGAAATTGATCCTAAAAATGGAGTCTGATTTATAGTTCAGGCCCATTGTCGATAAGGTATAATCTTGTGGTATCTTAATATACCGTAGTTCGATACAAGTGATCTACCTCCTTTCTTAAAAACTGGTACTACATCCACGACTCTCGTACTCTGCCTTACTCTTAAAGGCAAGTTTTTAAAATTTGCCCAAATAATTTGTAGTTTTTTTCTACCACAAAAGTGGCCACACATTTACAATGCTAACCAACATATATACATTTTCTTCTGTCCTCAATGGATAGGGTTAGAGATCTGTTAAGCATATAATTCAGTGATTTATTGAACAATCAGCCAAAGAAGGTGATTGTAGTGCTTTTAAAATGCTAAGTTAACCTACAAACAAATACACAGATTTATGTCTGTCCTACATAAACATTGTTCGAGGTGTCTTTACATAGCATCATTAATGTGTGTTTACAAAGGAGAAATGCAATTTGACCAGCTTCCACATACCATGTATACAAATACTCACACATATACATATACACATATGCCTACCCATATCCACATATATATATATACATACACCTACTAACTACATTTAGGATCTTTGTAGTAATTGGTTATATGATGACCAAACCACTCATTGGAAAATGAAGAAACTACAATGTGTCTTCCTGTAATTGATTAATTCTTTCACTGCTGAACAATGAAAACCCACACCATTGCCCTGTTCTGAAGAAAGTTTTCTAAATGAAACAAAAATATGTAAACTTGTGTAGATAATTTAGAATGTAGAAAAATACTCTATCACATTAGCTAACAGTTTATTAACATTTATTATTTCCAATAATTATACAATAAATCTGTAATACTAATACCAAATAATATACACATGGAAAATACTGGAGGGCCAGGTCCCAAATCTACACAGTAAAATAACAACGTACTGGAGTGAACGATATGGAAGAAAATGCAGAATAGAACCAGTGGAGAGCAGAGGTGCCATAGGCATAATCAGAGAACACTGTACAGTATAAACAACAGAGGTCCGCGGATGTTCAACGTCCTCCCAGCGTAGGCTGAGGGCAGACAACATTGCAGGAGGCTAAGGTGATCCAAGAGCACTGAGAGAGAGACTGGCTCCCTAGGGAGACGCACCGTCTCCCTAGGGTGCGTCCTTTATATAGTCTGGCGGTGATGATGTCACAGCCAGTGTCAACGCAAGGTATTAACAAGTGCTGAGAACAAACTACTAGTTTGTGGCTGGTGGCGCCTTTGTGTTGAGGCTGAACCACTGCTAGTTGAAGGCGGCTAACTGCTTGTTTGTAAAGGCAAACTACCAGTTAGTTGAGGCGCCCGGTTTGCCTCAGTCGTACCAGGCCGTGCCAGACCCTGGGGGTACGGAGAGGTGGAGAGGTAGCAGGACTAATGACTCACCTTGGCTGATGTAGAAGTGAACTTCCAGAACAGTGGCATTAAGGGTTTAGTAGGAAAGGCAGTTCCACTGCTATGCAGGGAATTCACGTGACAATAGCAATAACGATTCATAATACTGTACATGGTTCCATTTATTATAACTGTCTGGTTGTTAAATACAGAACTGTCTACTCATATCAGAGTTTGCAGTGCACCTAACAATCTGGCCAAAATTCATTATTGTACCTGGATCTCTTCTCACTTTAATTTTAATTATTCAGTCCCTTACCAAAACAATTACACCTCTTGTAATCGGGAAATGATAGTCAAGCGAGAGGTACAGTAACTGGTGTCAACTCTTGTCAGGTGTTGGTGTCAATTCACCTAATATCATCCAGTAAGATTAAATGTAATTAAAATATAGAGTATTGAAAACAAAAACAAATTACAGAGTACTTCAGCATAACATGAATGAAAATACAGTACAGAGCTGAATACTTTTGTATGGTACAGTATTGTGTATAAATGTTACAACTAGAAAATATGAATAAGATTATACATAACATGAATACTGTAATATAATTTGTAATATAGTATATTAAATCTTTTTTACATTTATTTTTTATCATTAACAGATAAATGCCTCTTTCTTTTTGCTATGAATATTGGGAAATATTATTGTAATGATAAATATAATTAGTTTTCTGATCTTGTTGTGAAGCCTGACACAATGATGAGTAATACTCTTGCATTCATTGTGATTACATATAACTGTATTATGATTATTACTTATACAACTATTATACTCCTGACAGGAGATAATATTGAGCAGCTAATTTTGTACTGTGGACGGGACATCATGCCCGAGAGCACGCTATCTGCCGTTTGTCACATTACTGCTGCAGTGGTTCATGTACTGCCCACCAACCCATGCAGCTGCAGGATCATTTTGAGGAAGCCTTCTGGGAAAATAATTAAGGTGGTAAGCAACAATGATCTTTAAGAAATGTAATATAGCTTTTAATGAATTGAATATATATATTTTGGAAGCCCTGAGCAATAATACATATTGAGCATAGAAATGCAGTGCACTACCAGTTTTGCATGGTGTTATTTTCCTGGAGATCGCATCTATTATCACACCACTTGGTGTTTAGATAAACATCTTGTGGGAAAAAATATGTGCTTTATGATCAAGGATTTTGTATGTTCAAAATTTTTTAATGTATGTTCTATAAAACAAAGCTATACAGTGCTGATATTTACAATATGTCATAAAACTGCATGGCATGGAACTGAACTAGATTAAAACAAGTGATAAATACTGTGGTGGTAAAATCCAACAGTACAGGGTACATTGATGCAAATTGATATCCAACATGGAATTTCATAAAGCCTCAAGCTATTAATTTTAAAATTGTTTTAAATCTGAGCAGATGCAAGTGAAGGAAGGTGAGGAACATTAAAGATGTATGAGGGTGGACAAAGGCAGGCATATGAGGGGTAGTAACTGGAAATAGACTGTATATGCTTACTTCTGACTATAATATTTATCTTTAATACTCATATACTGTTCTTAATATCACTTTTACATCCTTTCAGCATGAAGAATTTTCTTTAACTCAAGATTTACAAGTGCAAGATATACATTTGACAAAGTCTAAAGAAGCATCATGTTCACTTGAGAGTGCAAATGCAGTTGCCATCTTGGCTGCACAGACAACTTTTAATCTTTCCCTCACAGATGATCAGCGAGTAGCAAAGAATAATCTGCTGCTTCCTCACACCAGGTAAGAAACTCTTAACACTTTCCGACTCTTGGCGAATGTAAAAAAACAACCGTAAGTGCTCCCGGCGTTTTGCCGCGTAAGCGTAAAAACAAAAATGTGTATACTCTTTTTACTCTCATGACCTTAGTTCTCGAGCTACGTATTTCATTTTGGTACCAACGTGTTCGCAATAAAATTCTCTAGAAGAACATCAGTAAAAAAAGTCACGAAACGTATAGGGATACCAGCACCAAATAAATAACTACGAAGATGACTCGCCGTGAGCGCCCAACAGCAACAAAATGTTTTTACTCTTGGGATTGTTATCACCTCCACACTTGTCCTACAGCGTTAATTTTGGTATCAATGGACTCGCAATGAAATTCCCAACACGGTGATATGAATATAAGCGTAGAATAATGATTGCGGCCCGCCCGCAAGAGTGTGGGAAGTGGTGAAATTGTTACCCAGTGTCGGTGACGGGACGACACACGGCGCTTTGAAAGTTTATACTTATTTCATTCTCATGACATTATTATTCTATGTACGTCATTCATTTTTGTGTCAATGTGTTCGCAATAGAATGTTCTATGAGCCCGTAGGTAAAAAAGATCAACAAAGCGTAAGATAGAATAGCGCCAAATATAAAACAACGCTGGAACATATCAGTGAGAGTCAAACACACACGAAATGTTTTTACTTTTGTTATGTTTGTGAACCTTTCATGAACTTATTGTACCATGCAGCCTATTGGTGAGAAAGAGAGCCTCATGGCGCGCAGTTTGAAACAAACCCAAAGTAAATTGGATAAAAATTGAATTTATACAAATATTTTAAAAGAGGACATAAGTTTATGTCCACTATGCGGGAGCGGGTAGGCGAAACAGGACGCCGGGGTGCGTCCTCATCCCGCGAAAGTGTTAATTTGGCATATGTACACAAGTATTTTGAAGCATTGGAATGCTGCTGTAAATGAGTTTATTGGAGAATAATTACCTAAGTGTAGTTACATGATGAGAGTTGTACTCAAGTGTCCCATCTTTCCAGTACTTTGTCATGTGACATCTTTGAAACTACTGATGTTTTGGCATCCACCACTTTCTCGCTTGCTCCAACCATCTACTACTCTGTTTGCAGCAGAGAAGTAATATTTTTGGGCATCTTTGTTTCCTCAATTTGAATCTATGACCACTTGTTCTTGAAGTTGCAGGCATCAAGAATGCCTCAATTTTATGGATTCTTGTTACTGTTTTGTATGTACTAATCATATTGCCTTTCTCCCCTCTAGCTTTGGCATATTTAACACCCCTTTCCTTGTAGTTCTGAAAAAAAAAGAACTGGAAGCAATTTAGTAGCATGTCTCTGCACCTTTTCCAGTTTATTGATGTGCTTCTTAAGATATGGCACTGTACAACCACTGCCAATTCCAGTTTTGGTCTCACAAGTCATTTACAGTTTCTTTGACATTTCACCATGCATGTATTTAAAAGCAATTCTGAAGTTGGAAAAGCATAGCATATGGTCCTCGCAGTATCTTTTGTGGTCTTCGGATGACAGAACAACCCCTAGATTTCTTTGTCAAGGTTCTCAATTGCATTTCTGCCTAATTTGTAGGTTGTGTGAGGCCAGTTTTTTCCTATTCCACATTTCATCACATGGCAAATGAATTCAATGAGAATAAATGCCAAGTGTTGCTCCACACACTTTTGTCCAGGTCATCTCGAAAGACCTGAGAGTTATCTAAGAGTCTTATCTTCCCTAGTAGCTTAGCATAATCAGCAAACGTGTTCATATAGTTCAGTATTCCTTCTGGTAGATCATTTAAATATACAATGAATATGACTGGTACAAGAACTGAACCCTGTTGTACTTCACTAGTAACATTTCTCCAGTCTGATACCCCACTCATTTTTCTGTCAGAATGTCTTATCCATGTCAACAGTGGTGGTGATTGTTTGTCTGATCTTTAGTGTTATTATATTCATACAAAGTATTCTGTAGTGTTTGGGTGCTGCTGTGGATCAGTTCCATTTTGTATGTGTACAACAAATGATTCTTGTATATTTATAATACAGTACTTTTGATATCGTTCGCCTAATGCGTTTCTGTTCTCGTATTGGCATCATTGGCGATATTTGACGCCCTCTGATTATTGCAACCCGTTCTCGCAAATTCGTAAAGTCAATATTGACTTATTAACTACGTGCATAGGTGATATACTAAACATAATAGATACCCTTAAAAAGATTCATAGAAAACACCGACCTTACCTAACCTTGTTAGTATCTTAAGATAAGCATCTTATTGCTTCGTAATTACAATTATTACTTAACCTATACCTATTATAGGTTAGGTAATAATTGTAATTACGAAGCAATAAGATGCTTATCTTAACATACTAAGTAGGTTAGGTAAGGTCGGTGTTTTCTATGAAGCTTTTCAAGGGAAACTATTATGTTAAGTATGTCACCTATGCACATATTTAATAAGTCAATATTGACTTATTAAATTTGCGAGAACGGGTTGGATTATTTTGCACATTTGATGGTGCTACATATCCTTCCCGGTTTGGTGCCTTCTTTTGATAATTACCTACTTAATGTAAGGGGGGTTTGTGATATTGTATATAAAACAAATTCTTTGCAAGTGCTTACAGCACTTGCTTACAAACAACAAATTTTTCAGGATTCAATCACAAGGAGGAGAGATTCACTACACTCCTGACGATGTTGATGATTGGGATGAAGAGGATCCTGATGACGACTTAAACATATAGGCACTAATTGAAGTTGAAATGCAAGGTTTTAATTTATTAATATACTGGCATTAAACTAAGTTAAAACTCGAGTAATTAGAAGAAATGTAATAGTTACCGACTTCTGTGCTCTTCCTTCCGCCCTTTCAGTTTTACTTCTCCCCTTCACTCTTTTTAAGGTACATTTGAGAGAACATAAAAAGCATGAAGCCTTTATGCTAAGACTATTATTGTAACTAATGAATACCTTGTACAGAGTTGAGAGTAAGATGTCTTATAATAAATACTGTACTATATGGTCAATTTGTTTTTAAATTGAACATCTAAAGTGGAATAAAATGCCCCATTCCAAGTCGATCTTTTGGTTAGCTCCACGGTTGACCATTTCTTATCATATTAGACCAAATTAATTTACATGGTATACTTTGTCCCTGAGCTGAAGTAAGAAATTCTGTAAATGCATTATAATTTGAGGTTATTACAGTATAATCAAGTGTCAAGTCACCCACTCCTGGAGTTATATATAATACCCCAGGAGTGGCCCCGCCTATGTTCACATTAACCCATCTCCTTCCTAAGTTACTCTTCAATCCTTTAAAATCAATTATGTAAATCTGGCACCCTGGTGCAACTTTCCCCATGCCTTGTTGAATCTGATTTTCTTGTGATCACTATTCTTAAACTCATTCCCTACTTCAATGATCATTAGTGTCATTGCCAGAACTAATAATTTTCTTGTGTTGGCTTCATCATTTAAGAAATCAATCTAATTCTAAACAAGTCTCTCTCTGCATTCTCCATTTTATTAGTCCAGGTAATTCTACTAAAATTAAAGTTATCTGTTATGCAAACATTTAGACCTAGATATTTCTGAATAGATATAATTTCAATTTTGTCAAGGTTTTATTGGCCTATACATGATACCTTATTATTTGACTTGCATTATTTTTACCTAATTCTCTCCAAATAGTTTATGCAGGGGCCTAGGATTTTATTACCTGTGTTGCTTCATTGTAAATTTTCTAACAAATATTGCTATTTCCTCCCTCTTTGTCTAATTTTTCTAGATGAAGTAATTTTTATCATTTGGTTTTGAATTCTAATACAGTAGTTCTCATTCAACATTTATCCACATTTGTTACTGCAATAGTATCTATTGTATAAATAAAAAAAAAAAAAACTTGCCTGCTGGAGACGAAAGTAACTCCATAAACTGATCTTTGCTCCCAAAGCATAGCTTCAATTCAATGCACACAACACTCAAGTTTTCCACATGGTGGGGCACCACTACTGGCCCACTGTAGCATTCCAGCAGAAGAAAAAAAACTGCACTAGAATGCATTCAATTGCATCAAGAATTGATCACATTTAACTGTGAGCTGTGTTTTACCTTGTGGTGGAAGGTAAATGTAATGCAGATATCATCCACTTTAGAACAGTTGCCACATCATTTTCTTACATTGTGTGTAGGCTGTAATGGACGTAAAACAATTTAGAGCAGTGCCACAACTTATATAATCAAGCTTGCATCTATGACCATTATGTGAAAACAGTATCTTCTGTTAGCCTGGCCTCAGGCTGGGCTTGGGGAGTAAAAGAACTCCCAGAACCCCATCCAGCAGGTTGGTATGCATGCGATTACTGTGTAGATCTGTGTATATATATATTCTCACATCTTGGTGCCTTGGTCATCCTGGAAGATTTATACATGCATAAATTTATGGACCAAAATTATAATTTTCTAACCTGCAAGTATAGTATTAAAAAAGATTATATAAAATAATTTTATTGTTTATATTATACATATTTTTAGTCTTGCAATATTTTACAATATTTCAGATTATTATAAAAGCATATCGTATCTTGGTACGATTGTCATATCACATATTGGTATGTCAAAGTATTTCTCAACTTGGATGACTTTTGCTCGTCAAATATCCATCGTAAAAAATTCTAAATATAATGCAAAAATCTACAGGAAGTTATAAAGGTTGACTATTTTCTCATTTTTTATACTTTGCTTCAGATATGAGGCCAAACTTAGTTTCAACACATACAATTCCCAGTGAGCAAAACATGCTCAAGCAACGTTGAAAATGTTTTAACATTGATTCATTGTGACAACACATTTTTGCAACTTTGCCCAGGAGGATGTAACATATATTGTTCATAATTTTTACATCAGCAAATATTTATGGTTAAATATAATACTGTACTGCACATTTTTAACTTACATTCCATGAGGCATGTATACAGTGTTTTAAATGCACATTAATAAATGTAGAATTCATGAAAATCTTTCATGGACTGGTCATTCAAAAGAAATTCAACACAAAATAACACACAAATTCATACAGTTTGAGGAACATGTTACAGATGAGGTAGTGCAATGATATTTTCAAGGTGGTGTGGAAGAAATACAAACTTATTAATACTGATGAAATAGATGCTTATTTTCACTAATTTGATGGGTATTACAGGAAACACATTATGATAAGAAGACAACTTTAGTTTGTTACATTTAGTGAAAACATGATCTGAGAACACCAGTACAAGAATGCTGGAAAAAGTGTGGAAACCCTGATGTTTATGGGCACGAGCATCAAGGTTGAGGGGCACTTTAAGTGTCAAAGATGAACATCATGTACATGAGTATTGAGGATGAAGGTCACGTATACGAGTGTCAAGGATGAGTTATGAAGGTTTAGGTAATGTTAAACAAAATGGAAGTATGGTTATGAGGCCATTTGCATTTCTGAGGCATGAGGCCATGAAAGGCTTTGGAAGAACTAGCTTGATAATGTTACAGGTACTAAATGGGTGACCAACTGGACACCAGAGAAGATAAGCCTTCATTAGACAATGGATGGGCACAACCTAGCATATTTAACCTCACCACCTCCCTCAATCCACTGAGGATGTATCATAAATTGTGTACCAATTGGATCCAGTTGTATACCCAAAAGATTTGGCATTTTCATCACAATCTTTCAGAAATTACTTCCTCTTCTACAAGGCAGTCAGTTCCTATCCCTTCATCAATGCTTATCTGCCTGTTGGCACGCATCTTAGTTGCTTCATCGCTCTCTACACTACCCCTCCCAGAGTCGGGAATCTCTGAACATTCCAAAATGCCACCATCCTCTGGAATTACCATCACTTTCAATGCTGATACAGAGCTTTTCCTCCTCTGTATTCGTTCACAGGAGGATGGAGAATTGAAATGAGTCTCTCTCACTATTATAGGAATGGAATATTTTTTCTGCAAATGTTTAGAAGTTATGTTATCTGATAAAGTTCCAAGAGATGTATTATCAGAAATAGTCAGCTTTTCCAAACTGCGTGAACGTTGTAGTGATGAACTGCTTTTAGGACCAGCATTGAGAAGTTGAGAAGAAATAGGAATAATTGGCCGCTTTCTTTGATGTGTTGATAAAGACATGTTGCTACTGCTAGCGTGGACTTCAACTTGGGTAGCATGCAGACTTTCACAAACGGTATGAAGAATGCTTGGGGCAGACACTCTGCGTGCAGACTGGTAGTGCTGAGGGATAAGTACAGGAGTGTCCATGTCCGAGTCAGGGTCATCACTGCCTCCCATCACTGCACCTGAAGAGTAGGTTATAATAAACATCCAGCAGCAGGATTACTTTTTATTTCTTTAAATACTCAATATGCTGATATGCTAATTGCCTCTGGGAACAAGTCAAACCATCCTCCAAAAATATTAGAACCTATAGCTATGGATGAAACGTAAAAAATATGAACTTTGTACTCAAAACAAATCACATTTTGTACTAATGAAATTCTAAAGTGCATAACAATAAGTGAAAGACTAGTCATAAACCTGTGCAAGGCCTAAATCATCAATCCTTGGCTTAACCTATGAAATCTTAGACCTAACTTCCTAGGCCTAGTATAGGCCCAGCAAGTTTGGTTTGTTGCCATCTTTCTTGGGTCCTCCACAAAATCAATAGTACAAAATGTGGACCTTATTTTGGGTGCAACAGTTCATATTTTGTACTACTATCCGTAGTAGATACAAGTACAGTACTATAATTTTTGATTGACAGGGTGGAATAAGTGTGGGAAAAGCATTTGCCTATTTGCACTGTAGTCCATCATGTACTCAGTCTCATATTGTTCCTCATTTCTGTACATCTATTTCTGCATTAAGTGAATCAAATTATTTTTTGGCAAATGATATGCCAGAGAAAACAAAGTAACTATTTGTTCTTCCTACAATATGCAGATCTTTCAAGGAAAGTTCTTCAGACATTATTAATGAGTTCTCAACAAGATATTAAGACAGTAACACAAATGTTAAAGGTTGAACATACCCCACTTTAGTCCATATATAAGCAGCATCATGCAGTTCACAAACATTATGTACATGAATAAACATTGATAAATTACAGAGATGAATAGTCTGGTGAAAGTTCACACAATACTGTTCTAAACTCTGAAATTCTAAATTAAGAGTTTTACTTTAAAAATAAGTACAGTACTGAAAATTAATATTCTAAATTTAATTTGTGATTTATTCACATTAAAAAATATTAGGCAATTTATTCTTAGAATGAGATGCATGTCTCCACTCAGCTGCGTCCAGTCCTCCACAGCTACCTGCACATCATGCACTAAATTTGTATAGTCGAGCATATGACATTCTTGAAATACAACCATGCTTCATACATCACAAATAGTAACTTGAGTTTAGAAAAGATAATCTGTAATCATATAATACAAATAAAACAATACTAAGAATACTATGCAATACCTTTCTCATTAAATTTCATCAACCCATTACACATGCATGATACTAATTAAATCTGAAATATACAGCATTTAATTTAGGCTGTACAACTCTACTGGATCCATTTATATCAAATTTATAATTATTAAAAAATAACAGGTACACTGCTCTACACCAGTTGACTGTTTGCGTTGACAGGTTCCTGCCGAGTAATTCCACAACACATCATGGACCAGTACTTTTGAACTCTCGAGAAGCAAAGACAACAGTATAACATTTCCAAGTAGGAAATTACTAGTCAAATGACAAGTTATAGAAAACATTTCAGATATTGCCATAGCATCTCCAGTAGAGAATTCACAGAAGGAACAAGGCAGCTGTAAAGATGCTGAGACAGCTTTAGTGTAAATATGTAAATGTTGCAAGACAAATTTGTACAACAATAATGGTAAAAATAAGAATTTAACATGCAGTTTCATAGACACAAAATGTAAAGTATGTGCGTATAATTAAAATATGTGTATGTAATAAGTTGATTCGAACAAACTAAAATGAAGAGACACCAGGCATCAGTTTAAGCTTAACAAAAGATACACGAGATGGTTTCAAACAAAACGGGGACACACCAGGCAGGTTAATACACCTGACATACCTGGCTGCCTAGCTCGCTTAGCAAGTGCTGGAGAAAGTTCGAACAAGCAGCAATCTGGAAGAATAAGCTAAGCTCTGAAACTTTGTCAAACTGACACCAAAATTCTGCGAGTTTCTACAGTGATCTATGAATACTCCGTTTGACATGGCACTGTGAATAATGTGTGTTGCTTTGGATGTAAAATTAAACCCTTGAATCCAGCCTATAATTAGACGAGTGATTGCATGGATATAGCCAATGTTGGGGCTACCTTAATTCAGCACAGGCATTCTGTTCCAATTAGGCACACTCATCTATACAGTCAACTGCAGCAAACTGGTCACCCTGAACATGTGAGCAATGAATGGGAGTCATACTCCTCAAGCTAAGTGCGGGACATCAGAGGGAGAATTTAACTTGATACATGCAAGCAACGTACCTTTTCCTCCCAAGATGAAAGAACAATAAGGCTAAAATAGAAAAAAAATGGACTACATTGTAACAGTTGTTCATGTGGAAAATGCTAAAATAGATCAAAGACAAATACTGTATAAAGATAATATTTGTAAAGATATAAGATGTAGACCAAAAGAATGACACACACAGAATAAGGCTAGACAACCATTATACTGAAACAGATGAAGAAATGTGTGAAACTGTGGAGAGGGAAAAAAATGCATTTAAATCAGTATTTTTAAATTGAGGCCAATTTTAGGGAAGGAAACGTGTGTAACCAGAAGCTCTCGTAATGCATGAAACTGAGGATACACAAGCAAATTAAAAAAGCTAAAAAAGAATAAATTGGTAGAATACAAAATATCATGCTGGGTCTTGAAAATACTTTATGCCAAACTATAACACTGTTCTCTCTGGACAATCTTGAGTAAGTCCCAAGAGAATGAAATATACTGACAATATGGAAGGTCAGCATTGTACCAATATTAAAATAAAAAGGAGGTGGGTGGGATAATATCCATTGAACTACAGGTCAGACTAACAGTTCCTGGTCATTATTATTAGACCTTAGTCATTTATGTGGAATATTACGTAACATGTAAATTGGACATCTAAGGTTTTGTTTCTCATTACTGGGGAACAGGAATCATTTAAGCTTTATCAGGGTTTCCTTTAGACTTTTTCTGACCATTTTCCTGGATTCATCCCATAACAGTTGATTAACTTCCAGGGACCTCTTTATTGCTAGGTTAACAGAGGCAGCTGTTCCCAGGTATCTCTCCCTGTCCACAAGTCATAACTAAGACAAATCAAATATGAGCCAACAGCACAAACAACTTTTGATATTTACCCAGTACCAGTGGATGACCTGACACAGGATTATAGTTACAAAGACCTCTAGACATGCCTCAGGCATTGGGTGCATTGATATTACAAATTCTATTCCAAAGGAAGGACAGTATAAATAAAAATACTATATAAATAATAATAATAATAATAAACAAAAAATTATAAATCATTAGAGAAGGATGGGAGTCAAAACAGCATTCTGGGTAACCCCAGACATGCTCAGTAGTTCCCTGCAGATCTTAGGTTAACCCCCTTCACTGTGCTCCACACAAGGGTTGTTTCATCGATGTGGGCACCACAACCAGGGTTGTTTTAGGCCTATCTTAAACTCTAAAACTCCCATGCTCACATTTGCTTCCTCAGGCCCCCATCTTTACAAAAATCCCCCCCCCCACCCTCCACTATTAGTATGAATAATAAATTTATTTAAGATGTTACAGGTGCTCTGTAACAATGCACACACATTGCCCACATAAAAATTTTAGGATATCCTAGTGCATTAATGTGTATTCATTTTCTGATTAAGCGAAGTTAAATGGGAATGGATAAATGTATATTTCTTACCAAATGCCAGTAATCAAAGAATCAAGAAAACAAAAATCCAAGTAATGGGGTTTCAGTGTTTCAAGTTTCCAAATATAGGTAGTCATTTAACAGATCTGCTCTATTAAATAATAAATGGATTTGAAAACACATTCTGGAATGTTGTATTTACCTGAGTCTTGTGATGGTTTCCTGACGATGTTATAACTTTGCGTTTGTAAGATATCGTACTCTGCCATGAGTAGCAAAGGCGAGAAAGATGGTATGGTAGGGTCGGCAATGGAACCAGAGATTGTCTTTATGGGTACTGTTAGCAGACCAGAGCCGAGGGATGTCAGTGCCTCTTTCTGTTGCTCTTCGTTCTCTCGGTTGCGTAAGGATGAGAAGTCTAGAACACTTCCTGTTAGGAAAGAAGACATTATTAGATATCTGTTGTACTGTACAGTTCCTGCAAAGGGATAAATACATGACAATGATATTTTAGCTAGTATCTTGTTTACAAAAACTACAGCACGTTGAACAAATTCTTCATTCTGTACAGTATTTACTAAAAAAAATTAAGGCTTTGAGCTAACATGTAATGCATTTTTTCTGAGCCATATCATTCAGATAATCCCTCAAGTAAGATTCCAGTGTTTGTGAACATGGATCATGTACAGTCAGGAGGAGTGAAATTCAGCACAGCATCACAAGGAATTTTTCAAGTTTCCCTACAGGATCAAGTATATGCCAAGGGACAAATGATTCATGCTCGGTTGTAAATATCTGTCCGAGAATCAGAGGCCCATCAATAAAATATTTGAGCCCTTCAAAACTCTTGCTTGATATCACTGGTAACCACTAAACAAGCACTCTAACTATTGGCAGGACTCCATGGTCACACACTACCAATCACCAACAGGTGGCAGTTATGTGTTCAATCTCAGTCCACTGACTAGCAAACCCACATGCTACCTAATTCTAAGTACAGTATGTAGTAACTGCAAATAGGATATGGAAAACAGAAAGGCAGAGAATGGGGGGAATAGCCAAATCTTATGGTTGGAAGGGAGCCAATATTACGCTTAAATCCAGATTGGGTTTAAGACAATATAATCCCAGTTTTTTAAAATGTCACTGTAATACAGTACTGTATGTCCCAAACTATAGAAACATTTAAAAGACAAATATGTTTGCTGTAGTACAGTATAACAAATTATTGTACTTAAAAATCATGGAACATCATGCACATGTATCATTACCTGTAAACTACAAATACAGTACTGTAGGTAATTACACACACACACACATTACCTGTGTTGGAGTGTAGTGTAGAGGTGCGATGGTGGCAGCTTCCTCGTCTTCGATCCCGGCTGCTGATAGGACACACACACGCCACAATCTCCTTCCTTATGCTTCGATTATAGAGCCCATATATAATGGGGTAAAACACACTAGCCGTAAAAAGCAGCAGTGTTGACGTTACCTGCCCATAGTAGTCAATATGAAATTTGTTCAGATTTTGATCATTTGATCAAATTTTAACAAAGTTAGAATTTCAGAAGTACAGTAGAGTATATACTGTATATCAATTGTTTCAATCATTGTAATTTCGATTTAGTCTTTCCAAAATAGTGAGCACACGAGTCACTACAGTGACTGTACTTATGCAACCATAATGCAAACTATTCGAAACATGTGAAACTATTTTCATATCTATATATTTCTACATACTGTTAATGATATAGGGAGTTGATTTTGGACATGAGGGGAACAGGTAACAGACTAAAGCCAAGGCCAACCTTGACTGAGGCAAAGGCTCTATCTGCATTCGAAGCTAATCCCTGTTTGCATGGACGTTGAAGAATGACTAATTAATGATTATTGGTCATCAAGCAAGGTAAATAAACAAATTGACCAAGTTTGATACGCAACTTGTTATCCACATCTTATATTATACAGTACTAGTATTAAAAATAAACTAAATTGCTGTTTTTGTTATATTTGAAATATCATATGTTTTGAAGGAAATTTAAAAGGAATCATATGAATCTATAAACAAGAATATATTTAAGGAAATTTATCATGTTAGATAAATCTGGAAAAAGTAGATGTGCAAACATTTATCATAGTTAAGTATGGTACATATTTTACACATTAAATATACACAACTGTATAACTCTCAGGACAAAAACAAACAAGACTGACCGTGACCCAATGAGGTACAAGAGAAGAACGTTCCTGACCCAGCACAGCCTCGGCTACAGCCAAGGCAGAGTACGGAGCCCAAGTGAAAACGTGTGTCCCAACCACCACACAAACAGTTCTGTATGAAAACAAAGGTCATCTTGGTATGTTATCTGTAAAATTTGTCATATTTTGATTTTTTTAAAAAGTACACCGTTCTTGTAGTTCTAAACGAATATCATATACAGGATGTATATCTATAAAATAGTTAAGCTGTTTGTCATTAGGAGACACCTAGGTGGTACAGGGTTTACCCCATTGCCACCTTTAAAGGGATTCAGCCCCCTTGGCACCCTTTATGAAGTCAGTGGAGATGAAATCTTTGGAGCCAAGTCCTTAACGTTTTTTAGTTTCTGTATAATATTACAGAACTCTGATATTTACACGCAAAATGCATGTTCTGATGGCAAATTTGTATTTTGAGGGCTTGCAATACTTAAATGGTACAACTTTTTTGCATTTAACTTGGACATAACTAACCTGAAACCTTTAGCTGGTGAAGCTTCCCAGCTCCATGATGGTTTACGTCCTCCAAGACTCAACTTTTTCTTTATAGTTGGACGCATGGCGATGCTACTTTGTGCTCGTCGCAGGCAAGGGCGAACTAGCTGGGGCTGCTGCTAATACAAGGAAAATGTTAGCCCCTATTTAAAGGAACAGTTCATGATTATTAAATAACCAGGTGTATTTCAACGTGATGCATTTTTTCTTTTTTTACACAAGAAGGCACAATGGGTTGTGTTATTACAGATTTTGGCGATTAATTGGCATATTTTTGTGAAGCCGCTAAAATGATTAGCCTGATCTTCGCATCATATAGTATGCTACATGCAGAAAACAGTTATTTAAATAATGCTCATAAAAGAAGGAAAGTACTACCAAGATACAGTAGTAAGTGCCACTACTTTATAACCAAGCATTAAGTATACTACTTATAAAACATTAAATGAAGTGAATATCTAATCTTTCTACAAAAGGAAACCTTAGCTGTTCTATGCCACTAAAGCAGTAATTAAGAAAATTTATAAAATGTAAGCAGTAGAGTACTGTACAGTATTAGCATTTCCTCATATGTTGTAATGGTTTGTAGGTTAAGCAGCTTATTCTACCCAAGGGGAAGTCAAGCCTTATAAAATAATCTGTACTATGGAAACAACAGGTGTACCTATCATAACCTTACAAGCAAAACTAATTCCATCTTCAGCCAACATCATCATGTTGAAAGAAAGACATCAGCCAACTGCCATGCTAACAATTATATGCATTCCACATTTTTGTGCCTCACCTGGCAGAAAGAGAGCGATCTCCCGCAGTCAGCCAGTTTTCTTTTGGGTACCAGTGACATGTAGGCAGCATCACTCATCTGGAATACATGGCACATTCGGCCTCAACTTGTGCCAGAAACAAAACAAATAACCAACTGGCAGGTGCCATACTAGAAAACATGAGAAATTAAGACTTGAAAGAAAGACACTTACCCTGTTCATGCCTGTGACACTACGACTGCGACAGGGAATGCCTTGACTAGAAGCAGCGAGAGATTGTGGTATGATGGAACTAGGAATTTGCAGATGCCCTGTTCCATTAGTCAAGGGTTGACTTGATGTGTTCTCTATGGATAGCCTTGATCCACTTCTTAAAGGAACACTTAACCTGTTTTCCACGACACCTAATCCACTAGCCAGTGGAACACCCGATACATTCTCCAGTGAAGGCTCCGAAATATCTGGTAGACAAGGCCCATCCAGACCGACAGAAGAGGGGTCAGGAACTACCGGTGAGGAGGTGGCTCCCAATACTTTTCCTACACTAATTCGTCTGCATTTATTTCGTGCAACCTGCAGCAGAATGATTAAAATTACTAGGAACAAAGAAAGTTATCGTGAAGTGATAATTTTTATACACACAAGTACATAATAATTTTAATAATAATAATACAGTAATTAATAATATAAAAGACAATCTGAAGTAACAAATGGTTACAAATATTAAGATACCTACCACAATAATCTACTACTGTTAGTATGTTTGTTACAGATATTGTTTAAAAAATACTAGTGGAACACTAAAGCTATTCTGAACTCTCAATTAAACTTGCTACCCATCAGGGACACAAACCTGGAGAATAAAATGGTAGCAGACGAGCATTATGATAACAGGAACGAGAAAGACACTTAAGACCCAGACTGCAGTATAAGATGGGGACACAGCCCAAGCTACCCCACATCGCCCCTCTGCTCCACAATTCTTATACCTGCCAAAATGAAATTGGGGTAAAGATGTTAATACAAACTTTATATGAATACATTACTCTATTGTAGCAATTGGGAAACTAAGCCATATTACAATATATAAGACAGAAAATCACATGTTGCTTTGTCAAGACATACAAAATATATAATAAGTGATGTGAAGTATAATTTCCACTTCAATAAGAGAGGTAGTTAATTAAAATGCAGAATAATAAAATATTGCTATCCAAATATTTTAATTTAATTATATATTAATTATCTACTGTATCTGACATTGTATTGTACATGGAACATGAATGTAACAGATTTCAAGATTTAAATAATTACAAAATTCCAAACAGTATGGGAGTCGGTGACTTAAATTCAAGAAAAAGAAGGTCTGTTTGTTGTCAGCCATTTTTTATAATTATTCCTAAATCTTATCAAATTAAAAAATCAAGAAAAATCCATTTAGACATTAAATTACTGTACAGTACTTCAAAAGTTAAAATATTACCCGTAACCATGAAACTGGGATTTATTAGTCAATATACTTTCCAACTATCCAAAGGTGCTTTTTACCAGAGTTTATCCGAGAGCCACTAATACTAGTGGCCTCGACAAGGACAGAGTTGGCGGCCTGTCGAAGGTCTCCCCCATTTGCCTTGATGATCTTTTTCCAGCTGTACTTTAAAGTTAACAGAGTTTTGGCATTTACGGCTTCAGCGGGTTGGCAGTTCCATGGTTTAATTACCCCTCGAGGGAGAAAATGCATCTGTTCTCAGTCCCACATTGTGGCTTGTTGAGCTTGAAATCGTTGCCGTTTGTTTGTGTTATATCTAACCTTTTGAAGAAATTTTCGAACATCCTCCAAATTGTTCAGCATTTTAAAAGTTTCAATAAGATCCACCCTGTCATGTCTGGTTTGTAGTGTTGTTAGCCCTGTGGCCGTCCACCGTTCCTGATACATGAGTTGACTTATCTCTGGAATGATTTTTCTTGCCCGGTGTTGCACTTTTTCCATAGCAGCTATATCCTTCTGAAGATGAGGTCTCCATGGATGGATACAGTAATCCAAGTGGGGGCGCACCAGAGATTTATACAATTGATTCACTACTTTTGATAACTACTTTTTTGATAACCATATTCTATATAATTTTAACTATAGAAAAATATAAATAAATAAAGTTGTGGAGGGGTTGTAGTATATAATTAGATAAGAGACCTGGACCATCCCAGTAGAGGAGGGAGAGCCGTGATGAGAGCCTGGACCCAGCACCAGGCCAGCAGCACCACACACCGGCTGCCTGTCACCATCAACCCGTACACCATAGGCCGCACTATAGCCAGGTATCTGTAGTGTAACCATCATGATGGGGTTAGGGTAGTCAAGCTGCCAAAACAACCTTAATGTAACACATGATCAACATCACGATTAACAGTCAGGAAGAGTCGTCGTTGTCGACGAGGATAAAGTTGATTCAATATTGATTTAACGCTGAATTACTCTTGTATATCGTGATCACTGGAAAATAGTTTGAAACCTATTACAAAGAACTAAATAGTTTGAAAACTTCTTACCTGTCTAAGGCAATAACAGCTACTGTGATGGCCGAGGCTGACGTCACTAAGTTAGCGAGGAAGGCTGCCCCCTGACACAGGGTATCTGAGGCTGCCCACCACTGCCCTCCCATGATGTCCTCCTCGTGCTGTCCTTGCAATGGGTGCATCCTCCTCCTGCTCCCATCATCCTCCTGACCTTCCCAGCTCCCCTCATTACCTTCCATTAATGCAGGATCACCACTGCCCTCTAATCTTTCGCTCTCATTTGGATTTTTCTGGGTATTATTTTTGTAATCATTTTTACATTTTTGCTGCCTAATATTCGGCACGTGGGTATTTGGCAGGTACTGGGGAGTGTGTGAAGGTTGGGGTGTGGTGTGGCTCTGTATGGTGAAGGTAGTGTGGCTTGTGGTGGGTGAGGTGTGGCTCTGTATGGTGAAGGTAGTGTGGCTTGTGGTGGGTGAAGGGTGGTGAGGTGCCGTGGGGGTACCGGAGCCCACCAGGAGAGGGGGGTGATGGGGTGGTGGTGTGGTGCAGGGACCCACCAGGAGGCAGGCCACCATACCCGGGAGCACCACAACCGCTAACACCAGGTTGCTGGCAGTCAAGCTCAGCACCAGCCTGCAACACAAAAACAACTAATTAACATTAACACTGGCCAAATACCCACCCAACCACTCCTTGTACAACCCCCAACTTACCCATCAACCCCACCACACCCTCCACACTAATCACCTTCACTGATTAAGTGCTTAATTCCACACTAGTTTCTCTATCAGCTACCTCACCCTGTCAGAGTAAAAGAGACAAATGTATGTGTATATATGTATATAAGTATATGTGTGTGTGTGTATGTATGTGTATAAAGTATATGTGGAAGCTGATCAGAATTTCATTTCATCTTTGTAAATACACATTAATGACACTATGTAAGAGACACATCGAACACTTTATGTAGGGCATACGTAAATCTGTGTATTTATGTATTTACCTATGGAGCTTAGCCTAGCATTTTAAAAGCACTACAATCACCTTCTGTGGTTGATTGTTCAATAAATCCCTGAACTATACTTTTAACAAATCTCTAACCCTGTCCACGGAGGACACGAGAAAATGTATATATGCTGGTTAACATTGTTAATGTGTGGCCACGTCTGTGGTAGAAAAAATAATAATAATAATAATAATAATAATAATAATAATAATAATAATAATAATAATATATATATATATATATATATATATATATATATATATATATATATATATATATATATGTATGTATGTATGTGTGTATGTATGTGTGTGTGTGTGTGTGTGACTTCAATACACAGAAAGCACAATAGCGAGATACTGTACATCAAATGAACAAATCCACATTTGATTTGTTCATATAGACTTGGTACTGGCCAACAGGGAAATACTGTAGTAAACACCATCCAAATAGGTTAATAGAGACTGATATAGCCAGTTAATATAACCCAGACCCACACCAGGCGCCACATATTGCCCACCTATGTATATGTGGCCAGCATACCTATACTGTAGTTTATGCTATGTACGCGTGTACATGTGCATTTACTTAAAGTATGTGTGTGAGTGTGTATCCATGTAATGTGATATGGTTGTTTTAGGTGAATCACTCGAGGGAGGAGTGTAAATGTCACGACATTATGCGCCGAGACCCAGTACACGAGCCAGGAGCGTCATCCAGCCATCACTGTCAAACTGTCACTTGACTGTCGGAGCCGGTGTGCTGGCCGGACAGTTGGCTCGCGATAACCTTGTATTTTATTAACAGCAAGTTCAAACTATACAAAAATAATCATTGTTTTTATTGTAGCCGATTAAACGAATCATTTTCACTGTTCCTACTTTCAAGTATACCACATAATTTAAATATTTTAAATACTATGAACGTAAAAATGGCTCTTATCTACCTCCATCCGATATAATTCCTTGTTGTACACCGCAAACATTATACAGTTCCCAAGGTATGATAGAGCAGAATAGGCTCGGGAACCTATACACAAGCTGAGAGGCGGGACCCAAGAGCCAGCCCCCGCAAGCACAATGAGGTGGGTACCACTTGACGGAGTCGCTCGGATGATCGCATTACTCCATCTCTTGGGAAAGTTTGTTTATCTAAACTGCTGTAATTGCCAACTACTTGACCCACCTGCCTCTCTCTCTCTGGCCCAGTTACTCACCCCCTCTCATCTCCATAATGGCTTATTTACAAATGTCTATATTCCCGCACACTTAGGTAAGTGCATCAACCCACTATCATTATAGCACATGGAAGGGATACGAGCACAAGGAGCTGGGATATGAAGACAAGGAGCTGGGATATGAAGACAATGAGCTGGGATATTAAGACAATGAGCTGGGATATTAAGACAAGGAGCTGGGATATGAAGACAATGAGCTGGGATATGAAGACAAGGAGCTGGGATATGAAGACAATGAGCTGGGATATGAAGACAAGGAGCTGGGATATGAAGACAATGAGCTGGGATATGAAGACAAGGAGCTGGGATATGAAGACAAGGAGCTGGGATATTAAGACAACTAGCTGGGATATGAAGACAATGAGCTGGGATATGAAGACAAGGAGCTGGGATATGAAGACAATGAGCTGGGATATGAAGACAAGGAGCTGGGATATTAAGACAAGGAGCTGGGATATGAAGACAAGGAGCTGGGATATGAAGACAAGGAGCTGGGATATGAAGACAAGGAGCTGGGATATGAAGACAAGGAGCTGGGATATGAAGACAAGGAGCTGGGATATGAAGACAAGGAGCTGGGATATGAAGACGAGGAGCTGGGATATGAAGACAAGGAGCTGGGATATGAAGGCAAGGAGCTGGGATATGAAGACAAGGAGCTGGGATACGAAGACAGAGTAAAAGAACTGTGCCAACCACTTGGACCATCGGTAATCGAACGCCGACCTGTAAGAAACGAGGCCGTCACTGTGCCGAGCAGTAAAAGTGGTTGGGTCTAGTTCTCTACATTTGCCACAATGTACAAAATATTTAGTGTTAACCTCATCAGATACGTACGAACCCAAACAATAAACCCACCTAACCTATCCATGCACAGAAAACGGATTTTTGCGAGCAGTAACTCCTAGTAATCTGCATGTTGGGGACCATAACGTTCAACACGAGACGTATTACAGGAAAGACGGGTGGCGATGTGGCTCTGTGGAGGAAAAACTTAGTGGGCTTAGAAACTGAACCCCAAAAATTCATCTGGCTGTGCATATCGAAGCTGGTCCTCTTTAGCGCAGTAGGTTACGTCCTTTGCTCACAACTGTGGGACCCGGGTTTGACTCCCAGGCAGGACAGAAATGGTTAGGCGCAGTTTCTTTTACCTAATACCTCTGCTCACCTAGCAATAATCAGGAACCCGGGAGTTAGGCAACTGTTGTCTGTTTATATTCTGGAAAGTCAGTAGTTCGACCTTGGGGGTGGACGGACCATGATATAGGCCTCAGGTATATACACAAAGGCTTCCTGTCCCCAACCAAACGAATTAATAATAATTCGTTTGATCGGGGACAGGAAGTCTGTGTATATCATATATACTTTAGGCTTGTATCGAGGTTTTCCCAAGGTAGAACTACTGACCTTTGCCTGGATGCAAACCAACAAGAGTGGCTTAACTCCCGGGTACCTAGTTATTGATAGGTGAGCAGAGGCATTAGATGAAATGAGACGTGCCTAACCATTTCTGACTACCCCGGAAATGAAACCTAGGAACCTTCGATTGCAATTCGAGAACGAAGCCAACCATACTGCGAGACTCGAAGGACACAAAGCCTATCGATACATAGTATTCAACAGGTCTAAACACATTCTGAACAAACTGACAAACCAAGAATCACTTGATCAGAATACCACAAGAGAAGCTTGTAAACATCTTACACAACAGTCAAGGAAGAACTGAGCATCGCCCAGGAAGCATCACGAGGCAAAGGATCTCAAACACTCCACTCAAGACGCCGAAGATAATGATTACAAACTAGAGAATAGGTCACAAGTACCAGGAAGTGGACCGCAGTATGCAGCTCCGGAGACCCCCCCCCCCCCTCTACATGGGTATATTTGGATACCATCTCATGTTGGGAACACACAACCTGTTAGGCTCATAAGCACCTTCCCCAGGATGTACCCCACAAGAGTTAATAACTTGTTGGTACGTGTCCAAACATCTCTCTTGCATTGAACCCGGGACCTTTAGATTGTTAACCATCTACGCTAAAGAATTGTTTAGATGGGTTTGGGCAATTCCACCATATTTGTAAGGAATAAGACATAGAATACCGAGGCATTTCCAGAAGCGTTAGCTACAAGACATCGAATATCATTCTTCAGGTATATCTTGACTTGTTAGGTTCCTTTTAGCTTATGTAGTTCAGTTTTGGCCGCATACTATAGAATGGACAAATTCACTTCAACACGCACAGAGAAGGATGCCCTAGTCAGTGCCAGGACTTAGAAACCTATGGTCTTGGCGGCCATCTCTTATCTCGCTCACGCTCTGTGCTACACTGGTGCTCTCATCTCCAGGCCTCTCACACCTCCCCGTGGCCTCCACCCACCTTCACCACTGTAACAACAGAACAATACACAGCAGAACACTATAATAACTGTACACAAGGAGAATTGACACATCATACAGATGCAAACAATGGCCAGGTCACGTCACGTACATAGGAGAAAAGGATGCTGTCAGTTATGGTGTGGCCATGCTAATCCGCTGGCGATTATTAACCTACATCAAAGGATGCTGAAGGACCTCACACGCCCCAACAGTTGTACATAAAGATAAAGCATAGTTTATCGACTGAGTTGATAAAACATAGTCAATACATTTTTATTCACAGTAAGAGCTAGCTAGCTCGCGATCTTCCTCTTCAAGTTGGTTACATAAAATCTAGGTTCACCTAGAGAATGTTATATTGGTAACTTCACCCGACTCGTCAGAGCACTACGTCCTTCTTGGCGTGGGGAGCAGCACGCGACAAGCATCCTCGTCTCATCACATCACCATACTGTCCTAACATTTCTAACATACACCTGTTAGCTGTAACTAAACTATTCAATAAACATAAAACAAAAACCTTACTCCCTGAATATTGTCGCCCAAAATTTCCCATGTTACAAGTGGATTCTGGCAGTCAAAGATCTTTGCCCGTTCTCCAGGTTAGCCATTATCCAGCTTTGACTAGGGCTATTAGTGTGCAACAATATTTCACCCTAGAGAATATTAGTGTCTTAAAAAAAGCATCATCTGGGATTTCTTTTTTGGAAGGTTTTTGTTATCCCAACCTGCAGCTGTTATTGTATTGTGTTCTGTAATAGTAAGGTCTTCATATATTACTCTAAATTAACTCCATTTCAGCTTGTTAACTGTTAGTTGGTCACGTGAAGGTGACAGGGCCGCCGCCGGCACAGAGGCGGGAGTCAAGAGCGGGTCATCATTACTTAAGTAAAGGCCAAACTTTATGACCCCAAGGAAGACAACCAATAGAGGTTAATGCTGGCAATAACCTTGCTTTAGTTAGTGGTGCCATTGTCCCCCTTCTCCCCCTCCCCCCCCCTCCTCCCTCTGCTGGTGAGTCACCTTCCCCCCCTCCCCCTTCCTGGAGAGCAGCCCCCCCCCATCCTGGTGGGGACCCCCTACCCATCCTGGAGCGACAGCCGGTTAAATATCGACCACCTTGCTCCTCCCCCATGTCTTCCGTCTGACCCAGCCTCTCCCATCACGACCCCCCCTCCCCCACAGCGCCTCCCCCCCTCCCCCCAACACATCCTCCCTTCTCTCCCACTTCCTCTTCTCCTTCCTCTCCTACCCATCACTTAAGGAAGACATAATTACCACACATGAAATTAATAATTCATTTTATCGGGGACAGACACCCTGAGTATATATATATATACTCAAACATATAACATACAACAAACTATGTGGTATATTAAGGTCTCACACCCTCACCCATTATGCTCTTGATTGTCCATTGATAAATGTATATATAAACATTGAGATAAGGATTGTTCTTGAACAAATATAGCCTGGATGTGTCACAACGGAAAGGTTGATGATATTCTGGAGAGATATAAGATTTTTGCAACAAGATTGTGACCTTTTGTTGAATTGTCTGAATGTCTATTGCAATGTGTCTGTGTATCTAGTCTTACAAGTGTTTGTGTGTACGTCTGGTAACATACTACATGTATAAAGGAAGATATGTATATGTCTATCACTCATAATGTTGGGTAATATGCTTATTGTTTATGATGTGTGTCTATATATATATATATATATATATATATATATATATATATATATATATATATATATATATATATATATATATATATATATATATATATATGAACACGTTGTACTGATCGGGGTGAGAGTAGCTTGAGCTACTGCATCCCTTTATGTGTATTTATACCTCAATAAACTTATTTCAATTTCAACTCCCGGTTACCTATTTACTGCCTGGTGAACAGGTATATCAGGTGAAAGGAAACGTGGTCAATGATGTCTGTCCCGCCCGTGATTCGAAGCCGGGATTCCCGACTTAGTTGATAACGAAGCCAACTGTACTACGGAGACCCTTAGGGATACTGACATCACAGACAAGGGCAGACTCGCACAAGGCGGCACAGGTGGAAGCCGAGTACCCGGAATGAGCCACTGACAAATAATTGTCAGTATTAGTAGTTAACAAATGGAATACATCGTGATTAAGCTTGATATGTAGTACATATGACAAGAGCTTAATTGGCTCAGGAATCAGTATATCAGTTGATTGGTAGTCGAGAGGCGGAACCAAAGAGCCGGAGCTCAACCCCCACAACCATAACTAGGCGAGTACACACACTTGGAAAAGTGAAAGACACACAACTGTGCTAAATGTGTAACAGATGGAGGAGGTGCAGCAGCTGAGGAGACGCTCTTTGATGGGGAGAAGCAAAGGCGCGAAGGAAGGGGGGTGAAAATGGAGATGGGGGGGAGGTGGCTTGGCGTTTAGTACCTTTACAAACACATTATTACCTGTGGGCGATTTCGATAATTTTCCTGCTACCTGAGCCTAGCCTCATAAGCAGCCTTCACGGGTGGGGAGGGGGGGGGGGGTACCTGGTGGATGGGGTTCTGGGAGTACTTCTACTCCCCATGCCCGGCCTACTTGTGAGAGTTTGGTCCACCAGGCTGTTGCTTGGAGCGGCCCGCAGGCCCACATACCCACCACAGCCCGGTTGGTCCGGCACTCCTTGAAGGAAACTATCTCTTCACATATTTCTTTTTCTTCTTCACATATTGTGTGGAAACTTCTCTACACATATTGTCGAACTACTAAAGTTCCTCAGGTTTCAACCCACAACAGTTGCATAGCTTCTGGATACTTATTTACTACTAGACCAAGAGATGCTTTAGATGAAAGGAAATGTGGGCAACAATTGTTGTCTCACCTGGGGATGGAACCCTATATCCCCCCCCCCCTCCCTCTCCCCCTTTGTGGCTGAGGACCGTAGAGGGAGACTTACCGCGGGTGCTGCCACGCCAACACCCGCGGGTACTGCGCGCCAACACCCGCGGGTGCTGCCGCGCCAACACCCGCGGGTACTGCGCGCCAACACCCGCGGGTAAACATCATTCACATTTGCACACTGACATGGAACAAACATTACACACCGCTAACACAAAATTTTTCAAATGTCGTGGCTACAAAATTAAAAAAAAGTTACAAATAATGACTGTATAGACTAAGTTACAAATATGGGATTACATACTTCTTGCTAGCAATGATTATCCTAATTAATTTTACCAAGCAAATATGATATTTTTCGTGTGTTTCTACTTAGTAAGCAAGTTTCTCGTTATAATTTCTTCGTTGTTTTCTGACTTACATCTCGACTATATCACCAAACTCTACTACCAAGACTGGTTGTTGATATCAACCGGGTGGTGGTTGATACCTCATGATGTCCGTGTCTGCCACACTGTGAAGACAACACACTGTCTGCCACACTGTGAAGACAACACACTGTCTGCCACACTGCTCTGTTTCCTTCTTTAATACTCTCATATTTTGCCAGGAAGTTCTTATCTGTAGTTTTCATCAGGTTTGTTCTCCATGACTATTTTGCCATAGGGGGTTCCTTGATTCCGGCTCACTTTTATACAGGTGACCTCCATCTTATGAGAGGGAGATGGTGATGGTGAAGGGAGCCTTCCTCCAACCCTGGTGTTGGAGGAAGGCTGGTGGTGGAGGGAGGACCCACCTGCTGAAGGGGGAGACGGTAGAGGGAGGACCCACCTGCTGAAGGGGGAGATGGTGAAGGGAGGACCCACCTGTTGGAGGGGAAGATGGTGGAGGGAGGACCCACCTGCTGAAGGGGGAGATGGTGAAGGGAGGACCCACCTGCTGAAGGGGGAGACGGTAGAGGGAGGACCCACCTGCTGAAGGGGGAGATGGTGAAGGGAGGACCCACCTGTTGGAGGGGAAGATGGTGGAGGGAGGACCCACCTGCTGAAGGGGGAGATGGTGAAGGGAGGACCCACCTGCTGAAGGGGGAGACGGTAGAGGGAGGACCCACCTGCTGAAGGGGAGATGGTGAAGGGAGGACCCACCTGTTGGAGGGGAAGATGGTGGAGGGAGGACCCACCTGCTGAAGGGGGAGATGGTGAAGGGAGGACCCACCTGCTGAAGGGGAAGATGGTGAAGGGAGGACCCACCTGCTGAAGGGGAAGATGGTGAAGGGAGGACCCACCTGCTGAAGGGGAAGATGGTGAAGGGAGGACCCACCTGCTGAAGGGGGAGATGGTGAAGGGAGGACCCACCTGCTGAAGGGGGAGATGGTGGAGGGAGGACCCACCTGCTGAAGGGGGAGATGGTGAAGGGAGGACCCACCTGCTGAAGGGGAAGATGGTGGCGGGAGGACCCACCTGTTGGAGGGGTGGTGAAGAAGGCGGCGACGCAGAAGAGTAATAACGAGGAGAGCATTGCCCAGGATGGCGAGGATTGTGATGACCAGCAGGGCGGCAGCCTCGCCCCCGACGCCCGACACCATCACCGCGCCTCCAACATCCCAACCCTAAACCTGCAACAGTAAAGTCACCCACCAATAAGGTACAAAATACATTACATCTGGTTTATAATATTTACCACTCAAATCTACACTACACATTTACACTAATAATAATGCAACTTCATCAACATATTTGACTTATTGGCGAATTTAGATTTTTTTTTTACTGGCGGCTTTGGAATTTTTTTATTGGAGGGATTTATAATTTTTGTTGGCGGATATGGATTTTATCGTTGGTGGATGTGGACTTTTCTGTTGGGCGTTTGCTACTCTTCCGTTGGACGTTTGCCACCTTTTTGATGAGGGCGTTCGGATTTTTTTTTTAGTTTTAAATTACGAATTTTTAAAACAAAAATATGCAAATGGGTGAAAACGACGATAGGTCATAGTTTGGCGAAATTGACCTACAGTTTTCAAAATATGTTATCTATCGGAAATATAAAACTTGAGCGTTATTTTTTAGCGGAATTCAGGGTGATAAAAGGCCAAAAACTGTCGTACTAAAAAAATGGAAGCGGCTGGCGAAAGTGACGTACTGTCCCGTTTTCTGTTTTGGGTCCTCTGGCAGGTTAGGAGAAGTCACTTTAAAACTGACCGTTTTCTTGACGTTGGTAAACCTTAGGAGGACGAGCTGTTCTATCAGCCACTTGCGCCATACGCCTTTTAAGAGCCTTGAACCATAATCATACACCGATGACCTTGTCCCTGCTGTGTACTTGTATTACTGTGTATAGTGTGCTTTGTATATTTTTAGTGAGAGAGTGAGAGTGAGAGTGAGAGTGAGAGAGAGAGAGAGAGAGAGAGAGAGAGAGAGAGAGAGAGAGAGAGAGAGAGAGAGAGAGAGAGAGAGAGAGAGGGGAGGGGAGGGGAAGGTATCGTGTGTGGGCGTTCTAGTTACGTGAAAAAACCGCGTGACGCTGGGGATCCCACTTTTCATAAATTATCAGCTATACCCACCTTGTGGCCTCTGCCCCCCCCCACACCCCCAGCCCCCGCGCCCTCCCTGTGAGGGGCCAATAGAGGCACCATCACCATGGAGGCCAACAGAGGCACCAACAACGTGGGTGAAAGAGGTGCACCATTAACATGGGGGACCATCAGAGGCGCCATCACCGTGGGAGCAACACGGGGGCGCCAGCAACACGGGGGCGCCAGCAACACGGGGGCGCCAGCAACACGGGGGCGCCAGCAACACGGGGGCGCCAGCAACACGGGGGCGCCAGCAACACGGGGGCGCCAGCAACACGGGGGCGCCAGCAACACGGGGGCGCCAGCAACACGGGGGCGCCAGCAACACGGGGGCGCCAGCAACACGGGGGCGCCAGCAACACGGGGGCGCCAGCAACACGGGGGCGCCAGCAACACGGGGGCGCCAGCAACACGGGGGCGCCAGCAACACGGGGGCGCCAGCAACACGGGGGCGCCAGCAACACTGCCAAGACAAAGGCAGTTGACAAAATCTCCGGACAAAAATCTCTTAATGGGACACGGCTCGAGGCGACCAACTTGGACAAGACATTCTTGGCCACCTCAACTGGTTCACTGCCAGACACGTGGTGGACACATGCGGTCACCTGTGTCACTGCCAGACACGTGGTGGACACATGCGGTCACCTGTGTCACTGCCAGACACGTGGTGGACACATGCGGTCACCTGTGTCACTGCCAGACCTCGACAACAGGTGTGGATAAGGAGAGGGAGGGTCAGGACGATCACTGCAGCCTCCCCCACCTCCAGGAGGGGGTCGGGGCGTCACCTACAGCCTCCCCCACCTCCAGGAGGGGGTCGGGGCGTCACCTACAGCCTCCCCCACCTCCAGGAGGGGGTCGGGGCGTCACCTACAGCCTCCCCCACCTCCAGGAGGGGGTCGGGGCGTCACCTACAACCTCCCCCACCTCCAGGAGGGGGTCGGGGCGTCACCTACAACCTCCCCCACCTCCAGGAGGGGGTCGGGGCGTCACCTACAACCTCCCCCACCTCCAGGAGGGGGTCGGGGCGTCACCCACAGCCTCCCCCACCTCCAGGAGGGGGTCGGGGCGTCACCTACAACCTCCCCCACCTCCAGGAGGGGGTCGGGGCGTCACCTACAACCTCCCCCACCTCCAGGAGGGGGTCGGGGCGTCACCTACACCCTCCCCCACCTCCAGGAGGGGGTCGGGGCGTCACCTACAACCTCCCCCACCTCCAGGAGGGGGTCGGGGCGTCGCCCACAGCCTCCCCCACCTCCAGGAGGGGGTCGGGGCGTCACCTACAACCTCCCCCACCTCCAGGAGGGGGTCGGGGCGTCACCTACAACCTCCCCCACCTCCAGGAGGGGGTCGGGGCGTCACCTACAACCTCCCCCACCTCCAGGAGGGGGTCGGGGCGTCACCTACAACCTCCCCCACCTCCAGGAGGGGGTCGGGGCGTCGCCTACAGCCTCCTCCACCTCCAGGAGGGGGTCAGGGCGTCACCTACAACCTCCCCCACCTCCAGGAGGGGGTCGGGGCGTCGCCTACAGCCTCCTCCACCTCCAGGAGGGGGTCGGGGCGTCACCTACAACCTCCCCCACCTCCAGGAGGGGGTCGGGGCGTCACCTACAACCTCCCCCACCTCCAGGAGGGGGTCGGGGCGTCACCTACAGCCTCCCCCACCTCCAGGAGGGGGTCGGGGCGTCACCTACAACCTCCCCCACCTCCAGGAGGGGGTCGGGGCGTCACCTACAACCTCCCCCACCTCCAGGAGGGGGTCGGGGCGTCACCTACAACCTCCCCCACCTCCAGGAGGGGGTCGGGGCGTCACCTACAACCTCCCCCACCTCCAGGAGGGGGTCGGGGCGTCACCTACAACCTCCCCCACCTCCAGGAGGGGGTCGGGCGTCACCTACAGCCTCCCCCACCTCCAGGAGGGGGTCGGGGCGTCACCTACAACCTCCCCCACCTCCAGGAGGGGGTCGGGGCGTCACCTACAGCCTCCCCCACTTCCAGGAGGGGGTCGGGGCGTCACCTACAACCTCCCCCACCTCCAGGAGGGGGTCGGGGCGTCACCTACAACCTCCCCCACCTCCAGGAGGGGGTCGGGGCGTCACCCACAGCCTCCCCCACCTCCAGGAGGGGGTCGGGGCGTCACCTACAACCTCCCCCACCTCCAGGAGGGGGTCGGGGCGTCACCCACAGCCTCCCCCACCTCCAGGAGGGGGTCGGGGCGTCACCCACAGCCTCCCCCACCTCCAGGAGGGGGTCAGGGCGTCGCCTGCAGCCTGCCTCTCGTGTTAGCAAGACACTTCCTGGTGACCAGCTTGACCTTTGACCTGCCTGACAACACAGTGCCCTCATCAGCGCCACTTCACCCCACTTGGTCGCTGATGTGATCCCGTCCCAACACTTGTCAGCAGTATCACCTCTTCACAGTGTTTATTTCTCACAGTTAGACAATTGGAAATGTTGCTTCATATACGGACCTCATTCTAATGTTTTTTGGCTTGGGGGGGGGGTAGGGAAGATGGAGAGATAAAGAGGTAGAGACGGAGACATGTGCAATATAGTGAGTTATGAGAGAAGACGGACTGTCCGCCTTGCTGGCACGATGTGTACTCACCTAGGTACTCACCTTGGTGTGCTTGCAGGGGTTGAGCTCTGGCTCTTTGGTCCCGCCTCTCAACCGTCAATCAACAGGTGTACAGGTGTGTGAGTGATAAGCTAAGCTTGCTTTCTCCTGTCAGGGAGCTGTGAGTGCCTGTAAGGTTGTCCACATGTGTCGCAACACATGTGCATGTGTTCAGTGGACAATACTTCAACCCCCCCCCCCTTTCCTTTCCCTCCTCCCTCTCAAGCGTACCAGGTCGAGGGAGGGATGGGGAGTGAGGGGGGGGAGTGGGGTTAGGGATGAAGTGGAGATTGGGAGGGAGGGGGTAGAGAGGAGGGAGAAGATGTAGGGGAGGGGCGGGGAAGGAGGAGGCGGGGGGGGGGGGAAGGTGAGGTAAGGGGGAGGGTAATATTTCCAGCGTCACCTTAACAGTATGCAGCGTAAAATTACAATCAAGGTTATCAAGGAAAACAATGACAGTATTTGTCGTGGAACTTTCCTTACCTATGTCTTGTGGAGGCCTAGCTGCCCTCACGCACGCACGCACGCACGCACACACACACACACACACACACACACACACACACACACACACACACACACACACACACACACACACACACGGTTTCAAATGTAGATATGAAAGCCCCACTAGGCTCGGAAACTTGTACACCACTTAGATAGTTGAGAGGCGGGAGCAAAGAGCCGAAGCTCAACCCCCGGCAAGCACACCTAGGAGAAGATAATGAGGGGAGTACACTAGTACACCTGAATCATGGTACAAGTGATGCATAAAGGTCAACAGCCACCCTACAAAATAGGTCAACCTCCTCTACCACACACACCTGACACGTGATGCTCCACACACCTGATACACACACACACACACGCCTTTGTTGTCGTCCGTCGGGCTCACACACACACACACACACACACACACACACACACACACACACACACACACACACACACACACACACACACAAAGGCGCGGTTAAGGCTTTTGGAAGTGGGTGGTTAAGGCTGTGGGGGCGTGGTTAAGGGTGTTGGGGGCGTGGTTAAGGGTGTTGGGGGCGTGGTTAAGGGTGCTGAGGGGGGGGGGGAGGGAAAGTTATGATTGACAGAGGTGACAAAGGTCCCCCCCCCCCTCCAGCGGGCCTGTCTTACAGAGAGCAGTTACAATATATTCCACACACATGTTCTTCACACACCTGTGCCAATACCACACAAAGCCACACGTTAATTACTCAAGCAAGCTATACAATGTGTGGATGACATACTCATCACCAGACGACCCACTTTCATGACCCGGGGACGCATCAGACCACTCATCACACCCTCCACCAGATCATAGATCAATATTTAACATAAAAATATAACTGATCCATTCATTATTCACATTATACATGTGTAGACCATAAGGGGTCAAGAGGCATCAGTACGCGGC